CGGTTGTTGATCACGTGACTCCTGTGATGTGAAAAAACTGTTCCCATTGCAGTTTTGTGAAAAACACCAATTTTGATACGACTGAAAAACCACCTCAACCTAGAGCAAAAACATTTTGCCGAAAAACAATTTTTTTTCAAAAATGACATGTTTCCATTGAGCAAATTTATTTTCTAAATTCTAATTTGCGCATTTTCATGGTCAATGGAAACACAGCTAGTGAAGCTCTTTTCAGATACAAAATACCTTTGAGGAAATGTATTTTCAGATGCCAAGTAAACTGCATCATAGCGCACACGCGAAACAAACCACCCCCACATGCGTCCCCCCCAACGGGACGGGGCAGAAGCGGAGGATGGTTCTTAAAGAGACAGAGGCCAATTTCAAGGTGTTTAGAAGAGGAAGTGATGAGAAGATAAGTTTTTTCTATTTAAACATAAAAACAGCATTTTAATAACAACTACAGGTGACATAGATACTTTATTATGGTATAGTATTTAAATATAAGCCTGAGAAACACATGATATTGGCTCTTTAACAAAACAACAGGTTTAACAGTTTGATAAAGACGAGGAGGAGATTAACGAACTGTAAGACAAAAAAACAGTTTTTTCCAATAAAGTATGTATTTGTGTTGGTTTTTACAGGATCCATAAAACCATTTGTTCAGTTTGGTTAGGCAGCTTACTCTATGAGCGTTCAGAGGGAGAGGTGGCCTGTTGCTTTCTTAGTGGAAAATATTGATTTGTGGCCAACAGTTCCAGATAAAATAAGTCCAGGATATGAGAGGTCCTTCCAGGTGAAACTGAACCACGATGAGTGCAGACCACAGAGACATGCTGAGTTCTGTGATTTTAGAGACGAGGAGTGAGTTTCCTCCTGTTTTTACAGTTCTTCTGTTGAACATAATGAGATGTGTTTAGCAGAATTTACAGTTGTTGTTTTTATTTATTTAACTTTGTGTCAGGACTTTAGCTCCTGCTGCAGGCTGAATCTGGCAGCTTGATGGATTTATACGCTGGCTGAGTTGTTGACAAGTCACAGAGATACAGCAACAGTTAAATAGATCCTGTGTGCAGCCACTTCTCCTCCCGACTGTTGAAACAGGTCATTATTTACATATTTATGTACATCAGTGGAAAATAAAACATATTAAAAGGAAMAGTACAACAGGGATTGGAGAAGCATCAGTTTGTTCCTCATTTTATTTTAGTCACAAAACTAAACTTTCATCTGAGAACATGTCCACTGATCAACAGAGCCAAGCTGACAGAATAAAACATAGTCTGTTTGTCTTGTCCAGAAAGTATTTTTAGGACAATAAAAAATTATTTTAATTTCAGTTGGAACCAGATTTAGGTGTATTATTTGCTAAAACTCAGTTTATTTATCGGTTWTATTAAATGCTAATATTTTGTGCATTCATTTAAACGGTTAAAATGTAAAAATGTTTTATTTGCGAGAAAAGCTCAGTCCTTGTTCAACCTAAGTTAGTTAAGAATAGCACATGTAAATAAATAAACGTAATCATTAATGTGCATCTGCAGCTGATGAATGTTCGTTTAACGTTCAATTAAAAATGGCTGCCACAACCTTACCAAACAACACCGAGCCCAGGTTAGCTTTACAGATGCTAACATCTGTTGTGGTAGTAGCTGAGAGTTATCCCCAAAATATACTCTGAGCACTAACGTATGGAGCAACATTATTGYATAAAACTACCATGCAAGGCAGTGAGCAATCTGCATTTCTTCAAAAAACGCTTGTTTCATTATTTAAATGTTACTGACTGCATTGTTTTATAGAAACTGTAGTTTAATGTTTTACTGTCTCAAATTAATTATTTTCAGCTATTTTATACATTTCTCACATTTTACTGTTCATTTATGTGATTGATGAAAAGWCAAACAGCCAGCAGGCCAGAATTCCCATTCTGTATCACCACTGAAACAACGACCCTCTCCTAACAACTTACCAAAATATTAAGATTACAGCTAATAAATCTAGAAAACAATAAACATTGTTAAACTGCGTGCCTGTGTGACTCGAACAAAACAAAACAAGACACAAACTGAGGCCAGAACCAGATGTGAGGAAACTAAAAACTGTTCCAACAACATCTTACAGACTGCGTTCTGGGTAAATCAATCAGCTGTCCAGCACAAACAAACAAACAAACAAACAACTTGTGCATAATCTTTGATAAAGCATGTGGGAAAGGTGCTCACAACAGCTTGTGTGAAAATGTGTTGCATCTGTACATGAAAACACAAACACAATGTACAATCTGTTGTTTGTTCATACATGAGCTTCAAAACATTTCAWTACTAAGTCCTGTTTTTCTGAACAAGTTTCAAGTATATTATTCCATATATGCTTAATCTAATTATTTTTCTCACATACAAAGTTGTGTTTTACTAAGAMAACAATACTGTTTCAAGTGTTTCTGCCAGCTGATGGATGATGAGAGTTTGGGTTTTACAATAAAGTGATGGTTGAAGGAAAAGATTATTTGTACTGATTTCATTGCACTGTGAGGTTTTGACTTTTGTTTGTTTGTTCTTTGGAACGTGTAAACAACAGCTAAAATGACAAGAGTTGCATCACAAAGCTCGGTATACCGCACACGTAGGTACGTTTCTAACAGGGGTCCTGGGGTCAGTCCACGTACATGGGAGAGATGGGGGAGGAGGGGATCTGATCCAGGATGCGACACACGTARGTGGCCACATCCACGAAGCGCTCCTCGTACATCAGATTAAACGGGTGTTTCTGGAGGAAAAAAACACAAACAGATTCAGGCTAATATCTGTGTTAGTAAAATATTTTACCTGGTAAGAATAAGGAAACAGAACTGTAAAAGAAATCTGTCTTGTTGCTTACACATTAAACAGTAACTGCCATGYAACTCATGCAGACTTTCTATTCAACCTGTTCATACACTTAGCTAACAACAGCTAAACTTTAGCTAAAATTGCAGCAAACTGCTGAACATTGCAGAATGTACCCATAAGAAGCATAAACAGCACAAATTAGCAGAAAAAGGTATAACAAAGCAGAAAAAAGCAGAAGAATAGCAGAAAGAAGTAGAATTTTAGCTAATATAGCAGAAAAAGCTAAAGATAGCATAAAAAAGCTAAAAGTAGCAGACTCAAGTTGAGTGTGGCACCCAGATGGTGAAATGGATGTAAAAAATCCAAAATTAGCAACAAAAAAAAAAACTACTAAAAAGTGATCATTTGAAGTAAAGTAGGAAAAACAGCTGAAGTTTCCAGTAAAACAGCTAACAAGTAGCTGGAAACATTTTAATTAACATCCGGATGCATAAGGAGCACAATTTTGCTGAATTTAGCAGAATAAAGTTGAAAYAGCGCCAAAAAATGTGTAATTAGCTTAGAAAGCTAACTTTGGCTAATAACAGCTAAAATTTAGCTACATTTGTAGAAAATAACCGAATACAGCAGAAAGCAACTAAGAAGCATAAATAGTACAAATTAGCAGAAAAAAACCCTCATAAAACTACTAAAAAGTGATCATTTGAAGTAAAGTAGGAAAAACAGCCAAAGTTTCCAGTAAAACAGCTTGGGCGGCACGACGGCTCAGTGGTTAGCACCGACGCCTCACAGCAAGAAGGTCCTGGGTTCGATCCCCGGTTCGGACCTGGGGTCTTTCTGTGCGGAG